TCCAAATAGTTGAAACCTTTTTGATAAGGCATAATAAATATTTGTTCGCAGTATCCTTTGTTGTTTATAAATAAATGGATTCTTTCTCATTTTATAACAACAGAATTTCTGAAGCTCTTCTTTTTCTTCTTCTTCACAATTAAATATTTGTATACTTTGCTCCTATAGAGTGACTTACTGACACCATTTCTTATGTTACAGATCCTGATAATTATTTTTACTGTCATTAATTTATGTTTATGTTATTAAGTATAAATAAATAATAAGATGTAATAATTTTTATTTTCCTTTACATTATTAATGTTTGCTATTACGTAATATTGTATGTGATAATCGTGTTTTTGTTTTAATGACAGATAGATTTTAAGAACTATTTTATAAATTTTACTAGTATACCAAACGACCTCTAAATACATATATAGGGTTCATAGGCTCTCATTGTCACCTGGCCAGTACATTTCATCTTCCTCATTTTTTTTCTCTTTTGTTCATAGTTATCTCAAATTCTGAACAATAACCCCACATTTTCTGTGGTCCTATAACTGGTGATGATGAATGCACATGTAGTCCAAACTATAAAATTGGAGAAATTAAAACCCTTACTCCCTGGTGTGCCCTAATTTGGGCTTGTGTGAAAAGTAATATGAGTTGTTTACAAATGCGGCATGTATATATATATGGAAAATAGAGTTAATGCCGTGCTAACTGGATTATCACGTACACTTGTGGAAAAGGACTTTCACCATTTAATAAAAAGAGGCTCACATTAGTTACAGGTTAGGATTTCAAAGCACGAATTGTTAACATCTTTGACAAGTACAACCACAAAGCTAATTTTGCATTCACTAATAAACATGAACACACACAAACAAAAAAAAAATTATCTACTAAAAACATCATTTTCCCTTTGCAAATTGTTCCTTGGCTATTCCAGTATTTATGACGATATTTTGATTGAATCGGTAGGTAGGAAAAGAAAAAGTAGCGCTCCTTCTGTTTCTATGTATGTGAATTATTTTCTTTTTAGTCAGTTTCAAAAAATAAAGACATTTCTATGTAACTACACAATTTAACTATAAAATGTCTATTTTATTCTTAATAAAATGATTTACCGCTACACAGACTTCTATCATTTATTTTGAACCACAAATTTTAAAAGTCTTGATTTCTTTCTTAAACTTCATACCGAGTCAGACTACCTCACAATAAAATGGGACAGAGGGAGTATTACTAATGTTTTCATATGAAAAAATTAGGAATTTTCTCACTATTTCAGTAAAAATCTATTTTCCATGAACTCGTTTGATGAGAAATGAGTGGAAAAATTATGTTCCATAACACAAATTTCCTACTTATTCCAATTGAATAAAACTTTGTTTCCAATAATGGTCCGATCCAGAGAATTGATATATCAAGAAATCTAATATATTTATATATTTCATCCTCACGATCTGCAAATTGCACAATAATTTTGCGGTTTTAATTTATAGTTGTGTATATGTGTAGATAACTAACGATGAGTGTGTGAAGCCATGAAGTTCAAATACTGAATTTACTAATTTTATCAAAGTTTTGATTACTAACTAATTAAAGTTGGGAGGGCAGGTGTTAGGGAATATATTATACTGTACATCTAAAAGCAATTTATGCAAAAACATATCTGTCACTGATCTCTCACTTCACAATAACAAATAGAGTTGGGGCCAAAGTAGTCATGTAGTTGATAGGAAGAGATAGTACGGAGGAATGGAGAAAAAGTTAGGTGAGTGAGTGGGGGAAGAGATAGGGTTTTCTTTTTAGTGAAAGTGACATGCTCTGAGGTCAAAAGTGGAATTCAGACCTTCATCACTCCCTAGTGCGGGCACCGAGCTAGATACGTAAGGGGTTTATTTATTTATGTGATATATTTTTTTTAATAGTTGGACTAAAAAGTAATGATAGTTTTTTTTTCACCATGATCGAATTGTAATCAAAAAAATACTTAAAATTTCAGATCATGAATTTTAAAAGTCTTTTACTCCTATGTCTCATTTTTTATGTCATTCCTTTCTGTAAATAGTTGGTCCATAATACTTGTCATTTTATAAAATCAGTGCATAAATTATCATATTCTTCCTTTTTTTTAACCCTTGTGAGTTAATCTTGAAAATATATATTTGATCAACTTAGAAAAATTAAGTAATTGATTCATGTCCATTGGTTAAATTAATTAAACAAAATAAATTAATTCATATTCATTGATTGAAAAATTGAGTTTCAAAAAAATTAAATAAGGGTAGAAGGGTAAAGTTACATCATTTCATTACAATAAAAACAACTTTTAGCGGCATTAAATATTGACATTAATAAAGAGTGTTAAAGTCTTTTTCGATATTAGTTAAATGTCATTAGAACCAATATCGCTAAAGGCTTTAGAGACATATACAAAGAGTATCAATCGACGCTAAAAATACATATTTAGCGGCAATTAATTAATCATTTTTGTTATAGTGTTTCTTAATACAAGTACAAAGTAAAAACGTGACATATAAAATTGATCAGAGGGAGAGTAATAAAAAGCGAGCTTCTGTTCACGGTCTTTTAGAAGTTGGGTACATCTCCATCCCTTCCTTGAGTACATATACATGATCGGTAGGGATCAAGGTCAAACCCCAATGCATCACAGGTCAATATAGTTTGACCGGTGACAATTTTCCGACAAGGGAAATCGTGTAGAAACAAATATCTATATATAAATTGAGATAGAGAAAATACAAATCTTTTTACTTTATACAAATTGAGACGAATTTTCTTCTTCACATTAATGAGATTGAGAGTATTAAATTTTCTTAATAAAAATCTTATTAGCTCTTCACTATATACTCTAGGTTTCATTCATTGAATTGATGGGGGTAATGTTACACCCTCAACTAAAATAAAAAGAGAATTGTCGTTATCTAGGTTAGACAAAAGCACGTGTAGTTTCAAACGCAGTAGCCATTATTCTCCTCTCCTTTACAGGTGAGATTCAAGGCCAGAAAGGTACCATGCAAGCTGTTATTTTAATTTACTTATTGATTACAATCGACGACTTTGACAGAAAAAAGATGATGATTTAATTTTGTGACCTAGCCTTTCTTTTTGAAGAAGTATTGGAAACATCCTTCAATTTGTTGGTAGTATAAATCAATAGTTTCGTCTATGTATTATTGAAAATTTTAAAAGTATACTCTAAACTTTTAGATATACCTTCGACTTGCCACATAATATAACAAATAATTTCAAAATCGTATAAGAACATATGACTCTTAATAAAAGGTGGAGATTGGGTTGAAAACATCACTAAATTTGGATGTATTTCCCTCATGTTGCAAGATTGTGGTGTATTTAAGTTCAGTTAGTTAAGTAAATGATTATTTTTTAAGGTTATTAATATATAATTCAAAAATAAAACTAATAATTCACATTAAATTTAGGGATGTTTTCGCTACTTTTGTTTTGTTTTCATTTATTGAGTTTAAAATTAAGTTGATATGATACAACAAATTAATTGTGATCCCAAGTTCTATACGAGCACAATGAAATCAAACATGGTGTATCTCTCACTTTTTTTTCTCTCCCTACATTTGGTTAACTTCTCACCACGCGTTCCTAACAAAAAAAAAGTTTCATGCTTAGGGCTTTAGATTAGAAACCTCGATGTAAGGATAGAATATGTTATATATCTCTTTTTTTCCCCATCCAACGTTCAATACCTCTATTGGAATTAAGCTAATTCAGATTCACACTACATATGATAATCGCTTCCTACCAATGATCTTTCCATATCCAGGGGCTCAAACACAAGACATCTATTTAAGAAAGAAGCAGTCACATCCCTATTTAGGATCCGCTTGGCCATAGATTTTCCAAGTAATATTTAGAAAAAAATTGGCAAATAGTGTTTGTCCATATAAATTGTCATCATTTGGCAAACATTTTTGACAAATATTCCAAATTTTGAAATACTAATTTTTTGTAATATTTGGGTCAAATCTCATTATTTGGGATCTTTTAAAAATTAAAATTTTACATCTAACTTTTATCTTTTACAAAAAACTCTCTCTATAGTAGTTATTTGTGTTATATTACATGATTTTTTTTACGTGTACACCAAAGTAGTCATGAAATATTCAGTGAATATGAAAGTGATGATGTGGTTATTGATGAAAATAATGAACAATCGGCTCAGGATGACAAAGTCATGTGCTTTATTTACTTCACGATATATGGAATGATGTTTGTTGCACTCACTCCAAACCACCACATTGTTCCAGTGTCATGGACACTACTTGTTATTTGTTGCAACGAAAATCTAATCGACTTATAATACAAATTTACGATTGGTTTTGATAGTTTTTAAAATTTAGGGATATATATTATTTTTTCTTCTAAAAATATGTAATATATTTTTCAGATATTATGATCAAATACATGATGATACATCTGATTAAGATACCACATTATATGTATTGAATTAAGGGGGGGGATGGGTCTAGTTAGGGTTGTGGAAAGGAGGTTGGAGAGAGTGGTTTTTCAGTGTGTGTGTCGGGTGATATCACGTGAAGGGGCACGATAACAAGTTGTTCGTATCCATCCATTCACTTCCAACAATACCGCTACGTACCACTACCTGCTTCCTTCCTATCCCCAGTCTTTGTCAAACTTCCTTTCCCTTTCCAATTACTTTTTCTTTAATAGAGATGTTTGTTTCCTTTTCCCTTCCCCCCATATTCTTCCCTTTTTTTTTTATCTCTCTTTCACAATAGTAGCACCATGCCTGTAGCTTTGATGCTTAGACGGGCGCACGCGCACGCGCACTCACACAACTAGAATAGAATCACTCTCTCTATATATTCATAGTTATCAAAACTACTTATCATATACCAAAAAAAACCACTGTCATTCTCAAGCAAATAATAATTTTTTTAAAAAAGAAGAACTACATATATATATATAGTACTACTACTATTTTCATCATCACTTTGGTCAATCCATACAGTTCTAAGTAGTCATTGCTTCCTCTGTCAAATTACTGTATACAGTACATTGAACTAGCTAGGGGAAAATTAATCTACTAACTCTAATTTGTTTGTTTAATTCTCTTCTTATTGCAGCTAGATTTGCCTAATTAGCAGAAAAACCAAAAGCTGTGTTCATACTGTCTTTCTCAAGATCTAGACCCACCATATAGACCGCCTCAACTACAGCTACTCCACAAATGTATCCTCCAAGCAACAATAACTGCAGCCCAATTTTGTCTTCTTTGATATGCCAAAATATTCCATCTTCTCCTTGTATGCAATATGAACACGAACTATACTTTCAAAGCTTTAATCATGATAACCAATATTATTTTCAACAACAGCAACTAGTTCCCTCGATAGATGATTTGAGTCCTCACATCTTAGCTGACAGCTGCACCGAGATTATTACTAAGCCTTCGAATTGCAACCACGAACTACAAGGAATGGAAGAAGGCCGAGGCGAAAAGAAAGGAGATGATGATGTTATGAGTAGCAGAATTAGTGGACGGATCTCAAAAAATAATAAGAGATCTTCCAATAAAGATCGACACAGCAAGATCAACACCGCTCGTGGTCCAAGAGATCGAAGGATGAGACTTTCACTTGATGCTGCTCGCAAGTTTTTCCGTTTGCAGGACTTATTGGGATTCGATAAGGCCAGCAAAACTGTTGAATGGTTGCTTACTCAATCGGATTCTGCAATTGAAGAGCTTGTTGCCGCTAAAGGCAATGATGCACAGGTTGCTCAGCAAACTAGCTGCAATACCCCCACTACTACTACTGGAATTGGTGCAATTTGTGCATCTAATTCTATTTCTGAGTCGTGTGAAGTTATATCAGGAACTGATGAAACTTCCTCTAATGACAAAAACAAGGAAACCGCTCAAGATGAGGAGAAGAAGAAAAGGAAGAAGGTGGTTAACACAGCTCGTAGAGCTGTGTTAGAACCTCTTACGAAGGAATCGAGGAATCAAGCAAGAGCCAGGGCTAGAGAGAGAACAAAATCAAAGAAAATGAGCCAAACTGGAAAATCCAAATCCCTAGCTAATGATTTGAACCCTTCAGGATCTCGGAGGCCGGCTAATAAAACTTGTGAAGAACCTGGAACACATGAAGAACTCAACTTCCATCAAGAGAAGAACACTGTCGATGACTGTAATTTTATGGTAAATGGAAATTGGAATCCATTTACAATCTTTAGCTATCATGAGCAATACGCTGGAATTTCCAACGAGGTGAGGGTTTCAGACTTTGTTTTTTAGGGCTTCAATAATTGAACCCACATATTCTTCTCATCTTCTGATTATTATTTTTTTAAAAAAAAAAAATTCTTGTTTCTCTGCAGCATCAATTGGTTACAGACTTGCAATTTTGTGGAAAGCTATGGGAAGGCTAGGGCAAGGAATTTCGAAGCGGACAAAGTTCCTTCTTCATTTTGTGCTGGAAATTCAAAGCGGATAAAGTTCCTTCTTCATTTTGTGCTTACTCGGCCACAGCAGAAGAACGTTTCCGGCCTGTATCTGTTGGTAAATGTAACATAGATTTGTTCTTCTTAAGTGTGTGTTTCTTTTGTGAAAGAACTTCTGTGCACATAGCCTATGTCTTTTTTCTTCTTTTATTTGAATAAAACTACGATGCAGTTCATTAAGCAACATATCAATATACAAAAAGAAAAACATTGAGTACACAGGCTAATATTTCAATAGGTCAAATTTGGGAGAGAAATGAGAGAGTCTCGATTTTCTTTACGTTATTTTTGAATTTTCTCAGTCTTCTGGGCTGTTGTATTTCACACCGAAAAGTTCTATGAGTAAGGTTACTTTACCGTTTATACCAGTAGGAAGGTGTTGAGTCGATAGATATGTGTTGAAAATCGAAGAGTTCATTACCATATTTGCCAACCAGTCTATCAGTTGGTTGGGTTCCTTATAGCAATGAGTAATCCTGATATTAACATGACATAGAACATCAACAATGTCCTCAATGAGCTTGTTTATTGCCATTACATTGATAGACTAGATTCAATACGCCAAATTTTAATCCATCAAAGCTCACTATAACAGTAATTGATTTCATTTTTCTTGTGGAACAAATAATATGATTTTCTTTTTTGTTGTTGATCAGCTAATTGAGAGTTCAAATGCACATTTTCTTATTCATCGCTTTTTTTCTTTGTCCTCTCATCTTCTTGTCAAATAACCATATTCATCTACGATATTATAAGAATTAATTTCATTCGAAAAAGAATCCAAAGATTGTTTCATTGAACGATTACCTTCTACCTTTTAGCCATATATATCTTGGTACTTATAATAGGTAGTGATTATACGTTTATTCATCTCAGCGAAGCTTAATTTACAAGTTTGGAGAATCCAACATGTGTGACTTTTGAATCATGATTTATACTTGTGTTTGTTGAAGAAGTTCCATGCTGGTTAATTATGGAAAGTGTGCTCTTTGTTTATAGGAGTTGGTCAATTAGATAATCATAACTTTTTGAATATAATTCTGGAGTTGAATTAGGCTCAAGATTTATTTTTTAAACTGGTATCAGAGCATGAATCATCTCATGAGTTCTCGTTCACAATATTGAGATAATAAGAGAGTCCAAGCTCCAGATGTCTAGCCCTAAGCGTGAAGGTGTGTTATGAAGAAGTCACACATCAATTAATTATGAGATGGATGATATTGGTTGAACAATCCTCAACTTTTTAAAAACTTTTTATTGTCCCAGGCAACCTGGGAACTAAATATCATGAGGTAAATACAAAGAAGGGGGTCTTAGCTTTACTTTCAAATACAACACAAGGATAAAGTTATCTTTTACAAAAAAGGGAAGGGGAGGCTAACATAGACATTCCAAATGGAAAATCCTCATCTATTAAACTAAGTTTTGGATTATTAAGTACAAAAGTCATTTCTTTACGATGTTGATAAAATTATTAAATATAAACAGATTTTAAGTTTAATATTCAATTGCTAGCTAAAAATAGTTAAGGTCATTGACCTATAATTCCAAACTCATAAAGTTCAAAATTTAATATCCATCTGGGTTCCCAACACTCCCGCCCTATTCCAACCCTCTTTCTATACAGAAGGTGGAAAGCATCCACTAATATCACAAGTAACTACAACTTAGGTTTGAATCAGTGTTCAAATTATATATAACTCTTACTAAGTAAGAATCACAGATCTTTTTCATTTTCATAGTTAATTAAGGGATCATGTGCATGCCTGAGCCAAACTATAATCATAAGAAAATAAAAATATAATGCAACAAAATGAAGTATAAAACAACACATAATTTTGTATCAAAATTATTTGCATATAAGCAAATAATTAAGCCATGTTTGCTTCTTGGACATGGAAACCCTATGTTTGGTTTTTGCTTCTTGGAAATGGAAAAACAATCGTATTTTCTACTTCTTTGTGCCTTTTTTTGGGCCCAATTTTAGTACTACAATTAAATCCATCAGAAACGTTTAATCTGCTCTATGAATTTTTTTTCTGTATAAATTCTTTATACCAGACATTTGTAACCTATTGGTTTTTCGTTTTTTCTCAAGTAATCTCAATATATTAAGGTATCAAAAGGTTACTATTTCTTGTCCCTACATCTATATGCAGTATAAATGAAGGATGTGTGAGGAAAAATTTACAAAGAGCTCGAGTGAAATCAGCACGTACGTCCTTGAACATTGAATTAAAGAATTTAATTGTTGAACGGTACATGTTTGTCCTTTCAAAATCGAACTTATGCAGATCTTGGGATATAATTCTGAAATATTAGGATGCAAAAATATAAATTTTATGTCTCGTACCTACTTGGTGCTAATTTTGTATAGAAAACAGGCTTAAGGAAAACATTGTTCTAGTTCTTTGTCCAAGTCAATTTTGTTGAATTGGTTAACTCACAACACCCTATCTCACGCCCAATGCTTAGCATATGGTGTATGAACAATTTTGATATTTGGAGGCCCCAACATCGTTTGAGACGGACCCTCCTTTGATACCATGTTGAATTAGGTCTTAGGCCTGACTCACATCCCAAAAGCTAGATTAAAAGAAGAAGAATTGTCCAAGCCTTATAAGGAGTCCACTCATCTCATTAATCAACGACGTGAGACTTTTGTTATTCTTTAACAAATTTAAGAATCTCACAAAAAGAATCTTAGGTAGCACAACAAACAAATCGATAACATGAGTTATATAGCTGGTAACGTGACACAAAAAAAAGGCACTCACAAAAGCAAGAAATGCGAATAAATTAGGCGGTCCTTCAAATAGAACCCAAGGAATAAGATATATATAGTATCTGCAATGATTTCTTTTTTGGATTTCATTGGGTGTTTGGAGTCCACATTAGATCTCCGGCTAAATTTGGATCATTCTCTGCAAGGCCTATTCGATGGTGACGCTCCTAACATAATTTTCTCCATACCCAAAACTCGAACCCAAAACATCTGATAAGGAGTGAAATACTTCCACCACTGCACCAACACCCATGTTGGCACAAAATGATTTCTTAATAAAGCTTGAAGGAGCGTGTGTGATGGAAAATATAAGGGAGACATGATGGGCAAGTTAAATGAACCTATCGAAAAATAGTATTAATTAAAGTGGAGAGCAAGAAAATAAATATATTTACGTAAAAGAATCTTAATAGCTCAGCTAATTAATTATCAGAAGGCATTTGATTCTCTTGTAGTCCACTTCCCTACTTTTCCTTTCTCTAGTACCCCCTTATTTTTTTTGAAAAAAAGAACATATTCACATAGGTTTCATGTTATTATTTGAATCTTTGTCACACCTGCTTAGCTTTTAGTAACTCTGATTCAATCCTTAATTAGTTAGGTAATTAAGCTATATAAATCCTCATTAGTCCCATCATGCCATCCATTTCATTTTATCTCAATTCTTTCAATTTTGACTGCTTTGAGATATTTTAATGTTGGAGGATTTTAATACTTTTTACGACATATAAATCTTTTTATATTTCATTTTTCCAATTCATATTTCCTCTTGTCAGTTATTTTTCTACTTGAAATTCCATACCTGTTCCTTTGTTTTCCCTTTGTTTGAGTTGTGGGGATGGGCAAGCGAATATTTCTGAGTGTGGTCAAATTCGTCTATTTAACACCCCTATATATATTTGTGGTGTGCGACCTTGAGAAAAGTTATAGTTATAGAGCCTGGAACTAAAAGAACAAAAAAAATTGATTAAAATTTTTAAAAGGGCAACGAAAATAAGTTTGAAATCAAAATGATAACATTACTATATTATGTAGTCATAAAGTTCAAATAAAAAAGTCACATGCTAAAAAATTAAATAAAACGACTTCAACAAAAACAAAACAAAAAAATTATAAGGCGCTGACAGACTAATCTAATTTAAACAGTGTCTTCCCTGCCATTTAAATATCACCTTTTCTATTTCAAACTTATTTTTGTAGTCATTTTGAATTTTTTGATCATTTTTTTCTTTTTTTGCCTTTTGGCTCTGAACTCAAAAGTGATATGTCCAACTGAATGACTAGTTATAATCCAAATAACAATATAGATAATGTGTATGAAATGTATATTGAAAGTGTAATGATAAAAATGTATATAATGTGTATATATTTTGTGTGAAAAAAAGTGAATATGAAATGTAGATGAAAAGTCTAATAATAAAAGCATATATATATATATATATATATATATATATATATATATATATATATATATATTATTTATTTA